CGTTGAGTAGGTTACTGTCCATAGTACTGAGTACTTTAATAAGAAAGTTGAAACTGTCATAATAACAATTGTATTTAACATTTTTTAAACATTGTGCAAAATTTCAAATAATCATAATTTAAAGAAAATTTCTTAATTGCTAATTGGAAATTATTTAACATAGAAAACTAATTTAGAAAAGTTCAATTGTGATCTTTGAGTTCGTTACTAAAAAAGTTGAGTTGTGAACATTGAGAACTTTACTAAGAATGTTGAATCTGTTACTGACCTTGAGTAATTTGCTAAAAAAATTAGTACGTTACTATGAACGTTGAGTCATAATAACAAACTTTTAAAAACATTCTGAAATAGTAGCAATATTCATAATTATAATTTAAAAACTATTATATAATATTTCAAATTATATATATCCAATAAAAATATTTATATCGTATATTAAATCAAATATAATTGTTCAGTACGTTATTACTAACATTGAGTACTTTACTAGGAACATTGAGAATATTACTATAAACTATGGACTTTGTGTCTATTATTACGGTCATTGAGTTAATTACTAAGAACGTTCTGTTTGTTAGAATGAACAATGAGTACTTTTATATGAAGAATTGGACCTGTGTGTACCAGAAAAAAACCTATTACAAAGTAGTAAAAATATAGATTGAAACAAAAACAAATTTATCATTTTAATTCTTAAGTATGGTTCAGTTTTACTTATTTTTTACTTAAAATAATTCACTATAAATTCATTGAACATACAAATGTAAAAAAAACTTTACATAACTAAATATTGGGTGAAGTAAAAAGTTCTGAGCATTTTTCGGCTTTAATATCTTACGATGTATAAGTTGCGACTTAAAGGCGACATAAAACTTAAAAAAAAAGTTATTTGACAGTTCTGTCTTTTGTGAATCTAGTTGTGTGTTAGAGCGTTTCAAAATGGAGGTAAAAGAAGAAAAAATTTGATACATTCTTCAGTACCATTACGATCAAGGAAAAAATCGGAGCAGGCGGCCACCAAAATGAGTGTTCCATAAATGCAGTATCAAATGCAACAGCAAAGCGTTAGTTCCAATGCTTCCGTTCTGTTAATATGGACGTCGAAGATGAGACATGCTCTGATAGGCTACTAGTTGAAAATGTTGATAAAATTATGGAAATTCTTGAGTCAGGGGCATGCGATCACTTATTCCATTGTCCAGGAACTGAAGATTAGCCAGAAAACTATTTGAAACCATTTGCATAAGGCTGGTCTCAAGAAGAAACTCGATGTATGGATGCCACACGAATTAACTTTTGGAGCCTGCGATTCTTTGCTGAAACGTAACGAAATCGAAGCATATACATACAGGACAACAGGCGAAAAAGATCGTGGTTCAATTGCGGTGAGCCGGCCAAAAGTTAACGACCAAGAAGGTTTTGCTGAGTGTTTGGTGGGATTGGAAGGGAATCCTCCACATAGAACAGCTCCCATCATTCAATTCGGACCTAAATTATCAACAACTGACCAGGTTGAAGCAGGCGCTTGACTAGAAGCGTCCAGAATTGGCCAATATGAAGCGTGCTGTGCTCCATCAAGATATCGCCAGGCCGAACACATCTTTAAAGACGCGCCAGAAGCCCCGAGAGCTTGGATGTGTAGTTATTCAAGCATTTGCAAAATTTTCTTGATGGTAAAAAACTGGCCTCAAGAAAATGAGTTTTTTGCCAATAGAGACGAAGAATTCTACTATCGTAAAATTATGGAATTGCCTTCAAAATGGACAAAATTTATGGATGAAAACGGCGCATATTTGATATAAATCCGAAAATTCTAACTTTATTAATTTCACCGTCGAAATAAAGAGAAAAAATGCTCAGAATTTTTACTTCACCCAATATATAAGTTAAATACAAATTAAGAATGTTATATACTTATTAATAAAATTCTGTACTGTTTTAATGATGTTTACTTAAGTAATGCGAAGAGGGTTGAAGTAAATAACATTTAGTTTGGAAAGACATTAATCAAGTTATATATTATTAGGAACGTTGCGAAAGGGGCTGCAAATCCTTTCAATTATTAACGATGCATTTGCAAAGTGTGTATTAATTCTGCACACACAGAGAGAGCGACGAGCGTCGCAGTCGTTCCACTTAATATTAATTTAAAATCGCATGGTAATTAGCTGCTCCGACGAAACACAATTACCCGACACTGATAATATTATGACACCTCGAGAGGTGGTCTAATTACGCCTACTGCGAAATCCAATTTGCATCTTAATTTCAAGAAGACTGTCGAGGAAGACAGGAGACGAATACGACCTCGCCTTCGTCTCTTCCTTTCATATTACCCAACAAATCCAATAAATTAGTTCAGCTGAAACTAAGATTGTTGCATTCACAACTTCAAACGGAATAGTAATAGATCTTTGGAAATATCCAAGACATTAACATTATTTCAATGGAAACTTTTATCAAATTTGATAATCCGTTGCTCGACAAAGTTATTATGTTAATTATACTGCGGACGTGTAAGAATCACCGCCGCCGATTAGCGTATTTATTTAATGGCTCGGAAGGCCTTGGTAGTTAATGCCTCCAAAAACTCTGTGGAAAACTTTAGCGTTTTGCATTTGAACCATCCCGGAAAATCTCGGGTTTTCCATGATTACAACCGATTCCATGCATACATACCTTAACAATGGTCGAACACGCGAACCAAAGCGAAAATCTCGTCCAAAGGACCACAATTAAACTAGTTCGAATCTAATTTGCGAGCAACCACCCCACATCAATTATTTTATAATTACAGGGCTTCGCGCAGACAAGATTTTCCCCTATCCATTTTCTTCGTGTGGAAATTATTATGCCTAGGCGCGGTAATTATGGCATCGATAAAGCTCGTGACACGAGCGGAAAATGGAATTTTCAAATCACATGAAAATGAATATAAAAAAAACAACTTTGAAATCACCACGCGCGTGTTAATTACGTTCCTTCCTTTAATCTGTTTCTTTAATTGGATTCTTTAATAACCTAGGTATAATAAATATACGCAACTGAATCAGGTTTATGTAATTATTTTCTTATATATTTTATATAGAAAATACCTGTTTCGGTGCTAGGACGTACGTGTCCTTTCGACTTTCAATCCGATTATACTTTGGTCATATCGATCGTTCCGTATTCTATTATAGGCGTATCAATATTGCCCAAGCACAATGATATTGGCTGCTGCCTCATAGATTGTACACGATTATTACAAAAGCTCGGATAAAAAGAGTAGAAAAAAAAGAAAATGAGGAACTAGACGGGGATGGAGCGATATTAATCCGGGGAAAATTTTCCAAAGGCAATTTGTCTTTTATTGCCTTTAACCGCCCTTTACCCTATCCACAACAAGGGAAAACGAAAAGGAAAACCTCTAATTTCGTTCACTTTATTATCGATACGATAAAATTTAATTGAAACATAAATTTCCGTTAATCGAAACCCAACAAATCGATCGTTAAATCATCATAATATTTCAAATAAAAAAAAAAAAATCATCTTTAGAAATTAATTTAATTATCGTTATTATTGAATTACATGATTTTCAAATTCAGTTCTCGAACACTCTTCCAACCCAAAAAAGCCTCAGTTTACAAACTTAATTTATAATCATTAGTATCAATTTGATCTGATTTTATAATTCAATTCAGTTCTTGAACATTCTTCCAAAACAAAAAAGCTTCGGTTTACGAACTTCAATTATAATCATTAGCAACAATTTGACATTACTATTGTCCAAATATAAATTAATATTAAACATGATTGAAAAAATATAGGATAAACTATTGATTTAATAATTCAGTTCTCGAACATTTTGCCAAAATTAAAAGCCTCGGTTTAGGAACTTCAATTATAATCATTAGCATCAATTTGGTCTAATTTAATTCAAATACAAATTACTGATAAACGAGATTGAAATCATTTAAGATAAACTATTGATTTAATTATTCAATTCAGTTCTCGAACATTTTTCCAATACAAAAAAGCCCTACTTTACAAACTTAATTTATAATAATTAGTATCAATTTGATATAACTTAATTCAAATATAAATTTAATTCAGTTCTTGAACATTCTTCCAAAACAAGAAAGCCTCGGTTTACGAACCTCAATTATAATCATTAGCATCAATTTGAATTTACTTTAGTCCAAATATAAATTAGTGTTAAATAAGATTGAAATATTGAAATCATATAGAATAAACTATTGATTTAATATAATTCAATTCAGTTCTCGAACATTCTACCAAAACAATAAACCCTCGGTTTACGAACAACAATTATAATAATCAATTTGACATAACTTAATTCAAATATAAACTAGTGTTAAACATGATTAAAAACGTATAGGATAAACTATTGATTTATTATAATTCAATTCAGTTCTCAAACATTCTGACAAAACAAAAAAGCCTCGGTTTACGAACTTCAATTATAATCATTACCATCAATTTGACATTACTTTAGTCCAAATATAAATTAGTGTTAAACATGATTGAAAACATATAGGATAAACTATTGATTTAATAATTCATTTCAGTTCTCGAACATTCTGCCAAAATTAAAATCCTCAGTTTACGAACTTAATTTATTATCTTTAGCATCAATTTGATATAATTTAATTCAAATATAAATTACTGATAAACGAGATTGAAATCATATAAGATAAACTATTGATTTAATAATTGAATTCAGTTCTCGAACATTTTGCCAAAATTAAAAGCCTCAGTTTACGAACTTCATTTATTAACATTAACATCAATTTGACATAACTTAATTCAAATATAAATTAGTGTTAAACATGATTGAAAACATATAGGATAAACTATTGATTTAATAATTCAGTTCTCGAACATTCTGCCAAAAATAAAAGCCTCAGTTTACGAACTTAATTTATTATCTTTAGCATCAATTTGACATAATTTAATTCAAATATAAATTAGTGTTAAATATGATTGAAAGCATGTAGGATAAACTATTGATAATTCAGTTCTCGAACATAATTCAAAAATAAAAAAGCCTCGGTTTCCGAACTAAATTTATTATCAATAAGATCAATACTATGCAACTTAATTGAATTATATTTTTTTGTTATACTTAACTGAATAATTAAATATCAAATTTTCCCCTTAAATATTTCCTTAGTAATAAATTAAATTATCTTAATTATTTTTTAAACCAACAAAACATATTTCAATATAAATTTGGTTCTAAAATGTAATTTAAAAAAAGCCTGGGTTTTCGAACTAAATTTTATTTACTTAATAGTCCATTTATAGACAAAATATCTTAAAAAGGCTTGTATTTCTGAAGCAAATTTTTCTTTCTTGATAATCAATGTATAAATTCGATACAGACAAAACATTTTAAACGAATTTCACTTACAGAAAGATTATATACAATTCTACAAAAGAACCAAATTAAAAATGTTATTACATAGTAGAGAAGTTCACATGCAGACTATGCGAACAGAATCAATTCCGTTCTTGCTTCCCTATGCATTTAATGCTCCGAAAAATAAAAAGGAACTGTTAAGAGTTGCAAAGGAGTCGTACGTTTAGCATTTTAAATTTGGAGAAACGCGCAGCTAGAATAAAATAGCTTTTTATATTTATATTTCAATATTTACATCCAGAGACAGAATTGCATTCATATTTCGATGCGCCACTGCGAAAATGACCAAAAAAAATATACATCTTTTCCAACATGCAGCAATATTAAATCAATTTCCGTTAAGAAAAAAGGAAAAACGAGAACTATACGGAAGGAATTTTTCGGCCGAGCGATAATTAAGAACTTTTCTGCGACGGAAATTGCGCACTCCCGGCGCGGAAATTCACCGAAAATTGAAAATTTCAAATTCGAAATCGGTTCACCCAACTTTCCTTTTGGTCGCATCTATTTATTTTCTTCTCTTGTTGAGTTTTGTTCACGAAACGTCTTCTGCTATGTCAATTTAATTTGGGTCCTTCTAGTACTCTCTCAGGTGGAACAACTACCACTGTATTCCCTGCACCGTCTTCCTCTTAACTCTCCAGACGCGTTTATTTGCTTTTAATCTCCAACTGAGAGAGGGAGACTTTATTTAGATTGCACCGAAACCTTCCTTTAAAACAACCCCATTACAGAGACCGCACATTCTTTGCGCCACTTCACATGTCCTTCCACGATGCACACATTATTCTCATTAAAACAAAAACGCTCAGAAGTCTATCTACAAAATTTCATTTAGGTTTACCAGACAAAATACAATTTGAATTTGTTTGCATTTTACTCTCAAATAAATTTAGTTTGTTTCAAACAACTAAAACTAAGCGTAAATTATCATTTATACACATTAATCTATAAAATATAAAGAATTTGTAAAGTATCTACGTTTATTTAAATATTTATTACTACTTGTTAATTACAAAAAAGTTTGGACAAATTCATATAATTAAAATAATAGTAATTATATTTTTTATATTTTATTTTCTTATTCATTTTAAATTATTTGGTAAATCTATAAAAATAAAATTTCTAAATCTTACACAACTTTTTATTTTATATAACACCTTGTTACTCGCGTGGCGTCTGAAAAACTCCGTTAAATATAAAGTTAGTAATTAATTTATATAAATACATAACAGATTAGCATGTTTACAATATCTTCATCATCACTACAATCGTTTGTTTCTCATTGTTGGTTAATTTTTTGAAACAAAAACCCTTTTTCAAAAATGATAAAGTAAAATATTAAAACACTACTCGCGTGACGACTGATAGACTCTGATGAGGAAGGTACATAGGTCGAGGTTGTACCACGTTTCCAGTTTTAAATGTTACGGTTGCTTTGCACCTATTGGCGTCTCACAGACACCAAGCGAGTAACGAAGGAATACAAAATATATTTTTTTTTAAGTTTTATTTATATTTAGGGCTTTATTCAAAATTAATCCGTTAATATTCTACAGTGCAATAAAAAGCTAAAAGTAAATGTAATAAATCTCTAATTTTCATTAATTCAAATCTGCGGGATTTTCCTTTACGCTTTCAAAACTTTCAGCTCATCGAGCATTTACTTTTATGAAATAATCACGTTTCGCCGCTGCAGTTTTTAATAAGATAAATAACAAATAAAGGGTTTTAATACGATGATAACAGTAACATTTCTCTCCTTTTTTCAGGAACTTATTTCATCTTGTACGACTTCATAGACTACTTTGAGAAGGACGGGCCGAGTTACTTGCAGCGAGACAAGTACCATGACATCATTAACACCATCTTCAAAAATATGACTCGCCTCGAACGAGACGCCATTGTGTTCCAGGTAGCTATAAACTTTACTTCTTTTAATTACCGCCCGGATCTCTCCTTTCTTCTCTTCTCTCTTTTTTTTTGTCTACTCTTCCTCCGCTACTTTCTTTTCTTTTATCCGCTCTCCTTTCCGTTTCCTTTATTTGCAGTTTTAATTTAGTTTTAATTAACTTTTATCCCGAACAGTACACGGATTGGGAGCACATCAACGACGGTTACTTAAACCAGAAGATGATCGGGGATGTAGTCGGAGACTACTTCTTCATCTGCCCCACCAATCTTTTCGCAAACGTCGCCGCCGACAGAGGCATGAAAGTCTACTACTACTTCTTCACTCACGTAAGTAAAAAAAAATACAATTTAATTTATTAAACACGAAAATTTTCATCGCAATCTCTTTCTCTCTTGCTGTTTATATTAAACTGTTTTCGATTTGGGTTTTCTGCTGAAAACCGCATCTGCTTCTGACAGTTCCTGCGAAACACAACGGCTTTTCGTTATTAACTTCCAGCCCTTTAAGAACTCTACTGTTTTCAATTCTCCACTTTGACTTTGCTTCTTCTGTACGTACAAAGTGAGCAGTTTTATTGGGCGTTTAATTGCTGGCAAAGCAAAAGAAAAATCTGTAAGAAAAGGTACGAAAAACAAGTAACAAGAAAGTGCTTTAATCGAAAGTAATTAATTATTTGGGTGCGCTTTGTTGACTCTATCAAGTAAAACTCCAACAACTAAACTTTATTTTAGCTTTAAATTAATTAGTTAATTAATTGAATCACGCTGATATTTCATTTATTAAGTTTATTTTATTTCTTCATTTTTTTTATATATTCTATTATATAATTAAAATAATTTCAAAATGTGAATAGAAAAATTTGTTACACTTAATTTTTCATAAAATCACAGTAATATTTTTTGTCAGATTCATACAATTCAATAAATTGTGAAACTAAAGTATTTTGTCTTTAATTATTTCATAGTAAAATATGATTTTCATTAAAATAATTAATGACTTCTGTACTTTAATTCATTATTTTGTAAATAAATCACAAATCATAACTAATTTGTAAATACAGTAAAACCTGTTTTTGTGCTGTAGATAGGGAAGAAAACGCACTTAGAAAATACGTCAAAGATCTACGAAATACATGAGAAAATACATTCGAACTAAATTCCAACTCATTGTACATATGGAGAAATTTTCAATATTCACATACATAATTCACTGCCACTCGTGTTAAACCAAAACGCGCATCTTCTTGTGATGAATTGGTTCAAAATCGACTAACAGAATCGTTTGGGCAGGTTGTCCATATGCACACTGATAGAAAACATTGCGATTGTGCCAACACCGTTTGAATTTGTTGGATTCAAAATAAAAAAATCGCATAAAAAGGGACCGCACAAAAACAGGTTCTAATGTATGTATGTATTTCTAACTTTAATTCCATTATAATGTAAACAAGCAAGTTATATAATTTTGATTACGTATGCATTATGTAACGACTGTTGTTGCAACTAAAACTATTTGGCAGCTGTGAACTTGAAAACTAGGTATGTAAATGGTACATGTGAGCGGTTGTCTGCTGATGTTCTCTTAACTGTAAAGGGAATTCCTGTTGAGATGTACCAAAAACACGGTACAACTAATTATAACATTAGTCTTAAATTAATAAAATTATACAATGTAATAATGTAAAATTAAGTGTTTTATATCTAACTAATTAAATAAAATACAAATTATCATTTTAATAGTTATGTATTATTTCGTTTTTTTTGATAATTGAGAGAAAAATTGGTCAATTTTTAATATTTAAACTATTTACTTTAAATTAATTAATTATGTGATGTTTGCCAATTAATTACTTGGAAATTTATTAATTAATTATTAAATAATCCATAAAATAGCGAAATTATGATAATGGATATCAAATTTTTGTATAATCTTTTGCAATTAGTCAAATTAATTTTTACACACATTTATATTATTAAAAATGTAATCAAATCAATGACCTATTAAAGATCAATAAATACTATAAATATTGAAGTAATTATTTGAAGTTTATATTTCAAATAAAAACTATCTGATTATGGTATTAGTTGTATTACTTTGACAAATAACTAATTATGGATATTTTTTTCGTAATATTATAATTGTTTTTTTTTATTTATTTAATAAGTTTTACCAAAATATCCGATTATATTTGTTGAAGGAGCATTTTGCAAATGGAGCTATCATTTCTAGGTAAAAATCTTATATTTAATTCAGAAAAAAATCAAAATTTATATGAACTAGATCAGATGTAATTTTATGCATTTTTTTTTAATGAAGTTGTTGCTGATATTTGGTGATTAAAGATTCTAGTAAACATTGTGTAATTTAGAAATTTTGAATTATCATTTCATTTAAATTTAGAAAGTTTTTTATGAAATTCTATAGTTTTTATTGAATGAAGGAGTATTTGCATAATTTAGTATAAGGATATTATACTAAAGAAAGCTATCATTTGGATAGATTCAAGAGTAAGTTGAATTGAATCAATTTTTATATTTACTAAAGGTTTAATTTTATATATTCTTAAAGTAATTGTTGGTAAATGAAGATTCTAGTAATAATTGTGATTTCATGAGATTTATGGGTTGTAAAAAGGAAATATATTAAATTTAGAATGTTTTTTTTTATTTAAATTCTATAGTTTTTGATAAATTGAAGGAGTATTTGTGTAATTTATTGTAAGTTATGAGTCTCTTTATACTAAAGGGAGCTATCATATGAATAGATTCAAGAGTAATTTGAATTCAATGAGTCTTTAGCTAAACGCTAATAACAATATTTATATATTTTTATGTAATTTAGAAATATTGAGCTATCATTTCATAAGATTTGAGGGTTACAAAAAGGAAATATTTGAAATTTTGAATGATTTTTATGTTTAAATTCTATAGTTTTTGACGAATTGAAGGAATATTTGTGTAATTTAATATAAGGATATTATAAGTCTCTTCATACTAAAGAAAGCTATCATTTGAATAGATTCAAGAGAAAGTTGAATTCAATCAATTTTTATATTTACTAAAGTTTTATAATTAGATGTAATTTTATATATTCTGAATGTAATTGAAGATTCTAATAATAATTGTGATTTCATGAGATTTAAAGGTTGTAAAAAGGAAATATTTTAAATTTAGAATGTTTTTCTTGTTTAAATTCTATAGTTTCTGATGAATTGATTCAGTATTTGTGTAATTTAGTATAAGGATATTAAGGGTCTTTTTACGATCATATGAAGAGATTCAATGATAAGTTGAATTCAATGAGTCTTGAGCTAAAAGCTAATAACAAAATGTATATATTTTTATATAATTTTGCATTGAGAAATATTCAGCTATCATTTCATTAGATTTAAGGATTGTATAAAAAAAATATTTTAAATTTAGAATGTTTTTCTTGTTTAAATTCAATAGATTGTTATGAATTAATGGAGTATTTGTTTAATTTAGTATAAGGATATTAAGGCTCTCTTTACTCAAAAGAGTAATTGTTGCTAATTGAAGATTCTAGTAATACTTGCATAATTTATTATTTAGAAATATTGACCTATCATTTCGTGAGATTTAAGAGTTGTATTTTTTTTTTCAAAATTCTATAGTTTTTATTGAATTGAAGGAGTATTTGTGTAATTTAGTATGAGGATATTAAGGGTCTCTTTACGATCATATGAAGAGATTCAATGATAAGTTGAATTCAATGAGTCTTGAGCTAAAAGCTAATAACAAAATGTATATATTTTTATGTAATTTAGCATTTATATATATTGAGCTATCATTTCATTAGATTTAATGATTGTATAAAATAAATATTTTAAATTTAGAATGTTTTTTATTGTTTAAATTCTATAGTTTCTGATGAATTGATGGAGTATTTGTGTAATTTAGTATAAGGATATTATAGGTCTCTTTACACAAAAGAGAACTATCATATGAGGAGATTCAAGTGTAAATTGAGGAGGGCATTTATTAGATGTGTTGTTTCATACATGTCTACTTAAGGTAAAATCAAAATTTCGGTTTTTATTCAAAAAAAAAAAGTGTGTTTTATTTAAGATTTAAATTGTCCGGTCTTGCTGGGATAACCTATATTAACGAGACTTTTCTAGTTACATGTAATTTTATATATTTCTTTCATGTAATTGTTTATTGATATTGACCTATCATTTCGTGAGATTTAAGAGTTGTAATTTTTTTTTCGAAATTCCATAGTTTTTGTTGAATTGATGGAGTATTTGTGTAATTTAGTATAAGGATATTAAGGGTCTCTTTACGATCATATGAAGAGATTCAAGGATAAGTTGAATTCAATGAGTCATGAGCTAAACGCTAATAACCGTAACATAGGATAACCGCAATACAATAAAATCGGTTATCACGCGATAAAGGGCTTTTTCGGTTTCACGTACTGCCTGTGCGAGTGGGAGGAGGATGAAGAGATGGGGGCATACCAACCATTCCCCCATCATCCACTCCACCACCCCAAGGGTTTCGTAGTGATGGTGGTTGTGGATGTTCTCGGGCACGCACCCTTCTTTTTCCCCGTGCTCGTTATCGTAACGTTTTCCACGATGCGAAGGGAAAATAAACCTGCCTGAGTTATCGCTCAGCTCCGACCGAATTTAATGTAATTGACCGTCCCTGGCCCATCGACGTCTTCTCTACCTCTCCCAAATGCAACGCAACTAATTGCCTTTTATATGGCTCAATTTTACACATATCCAAAGAAAACCAATCACATAGAATTCAACAGAAACCAAAATAATACTAAGGAACTTAAAATTGATTTTAATCAGTTTACAATTTTAATTCATAGTAGTCCCTGTTTGATTAACGCAAATTCGATCTACTTGAAGATATAAATCTACCTAAATCTACCTATAATCTTACTGTAAATGAAAATTGTAAACTAATTTTAAATATATCTATATACAACAGATTTTTTTTATTTCTCGAAATTTTCAACTAAAAATATTGTAAAAGCAATTTCAAAAACATAATCGGATATTTTGGTGAAACTTGTTAAATAAATAACTAAATATGTTTATTTTGAAAACCCTTAAATTTCATGAAATGATAGCTCAATATTTCTAAATGCTAATTTACAAAATTATTATAAAAATATTCAATTAACAATAATTAAAAAATATATAAAATTTAAACTTTCAGTTAATATAAAAATAGATTTTGTTTTCTGAATTAAATACATCACATTTTTACCATTAAATAATAGCTCATTATTTCCATTTGATAAATTACACAAACATTACTAGAATCTTTAATAAGTAAATAAC